TGTGTGTGTGTGTGTGTGTGTGTGTGTGTGCGCTAAATAGCCCTGCTAGCCTGCCTGCGATTATGTCATACAGCATGGGTTCCAGCTGTCCGAGTCAGCTGCATTTGATTTCGCTTTCAAAAACGTCATCCCCAACCACAGTGTGTGCGTGTGTGTGTGTGTGTGTGAGAGAGAGAGAGAGAGAGAGAATTGGTACGTGTGTGTGTGTGTGTGTGAGAAAACTGTTTTAAATTAGTGCTTAATTGTTTGTATAAAAGTGCACACAAACTCAATAAACTCTGTGGAGCGTCACCTGTCGGCCCGCAGAGCAAAGCAGTCGTTGCCGTCAGGTTATGGCTGATGAAGACTCTTCAACGACTGTGATTTGGTTTTCATTGAACTCTGGAATCCAGCTCTAAGTTAAAGCAAATGTATTTGCGAGGGCTCGGTCACACTGAGGGGCTTTAGATGTGAGCTTTGACAAAGGACTGCATGAATCTTAAATGCAAGGTTCACACGCACGGGTCCAAACTCTCAATGTTTCTTTGCACAAAGAAAACCAGTAATGCTGAATGGACATTTACAGTCTCGGTTATTTTATTTAGTAGACACTGGGGTCTTTTGAGGTTTGATACTCCCACGGACAACTGATCCTCAATTTCCTTCAGTCTTAAAATGATATCTGGTGTTTTGTTGACATAGGCTGATTGACTTGCTGTTGTCGTCTCCCGCAGACTGTTCAGCTGTCATGTTACTTAATCAGATTCTTGGAAAACCGGCTCCAATAAAAGGAGAATTGATGCTGTGTGGTTGAGTGGTTGTTTGATTTACTGAGGATCTTGCTGCAGTTGATGTTGCTGTCTGCGAGGGCGGTGTATGATGTACTCGCTGTGTCCCTCTGGATGATAATATCAGTTAAAGGGCTACATGCCAATAGAAATGTCTGGCACGGTCTTGCCCTTCTCTTTGCCCAGCAGTTGTTGGACCCTTCTGACCCCAGTTGGACTTAAACCACACGACTTTGAGGCTTGTACATTGAAACCAAGAACATTTTTTTATAGGCTGCTCTGGTCGGGTCAGAGTTCACGGGAGAGCTTTGATCAACCTGTCTTCACCAGAGTGGCAGGCCATGTTACCCTCTGCACTCGTCACTATAATTGGATCTCACAGTTATTTCTAGAAGTCAAGTTGTCTGTAAAGGCTACTCAATATCCAGTTAGTTACTGAATGCTGCAAGATGCTATGAGTAAAGGTTTCCACCAGATTCACCAAAACCACACGATGACTCAGGCCTCGGGGACACGACGCAACAGGACATTTCTCCCCCGCAGCTATGACCAACCTTTACTTTCCATTACGCTTCAGTTCCTTTAGGGCTCATGTCATTCACGTTGATTTATTCCTATCTGCAAATACAGTCCACTCATTTGCTGTTTGAACTTTGAGCTGAGATGCCCGATGAGCAGTTTTATCTGCCGAGATCCGCATGTTGTTTGCATCCGATTACAGTTTCTGCTCAGTTTCCATCTTGTCAAGGACAGCTTCCCTCCCTGTCTTGGCACTGTTGCTGAGTCACAGGGACTATCATGTGTCTTGCACCAGATCAACTGGAGGAATTTCAGGCTTTTTATTTACATAAAACTAAAGTCAGCCTTTTATTGGCGATGATGCAAGCTATCCAAGTAAGAAACCACTCGGCATCCAACTGAAGCCCTTCCTCTTTCTTTGTTAGCTGTGGTAAGTGGAGAAAAGCTGTTTGAAATGTACTTCATGAGCTTTTTTTTTATTGTAATGTTTAATTGATTCCCACTATAATTGCTAACAAATGCAACGTAATGCGTGGTCTACATCTAGTAAAGTAGAGACTTCTGTAATTCTACATTTGGCTTTGAATAAAGAGGGGAAGCCTGGACTCTCAGCTCTCAGAGGAAAGTGAGATTCACCATCAAATGGCAAAACTTTTTGATAAATGATCTGTTTGTTCCAGATTTGCGCCTCTGTGAAATGTGACATGTGGCAGGGTAAGGACTTGTCAAAGGAAGAATGGCTCATACCCGGTGGAGGATGTTGCGTTCTTCATCCCGGCCTCGTCACTTTCTACATGACTAGGAAACATACCAACCAACCAACCAGCACGGACACATTAGACGTCCCTGATATTCA